AAAAAAAAGAGAAAAAGACATCTGCCAAACAAAAAGAAAATCCCTCATCACTTGTAGTCATACACACATCCACTTTTCCCTCATACACACATCCACTTTTTTAGTCCATACTTCACCACAATACAAATACAGTCGCTAAATTTGGTAAAAATTCATCCAGTTATGCTTGCTGATATTATATTGCTACTGTCCGTCTATCGCCGCCTCTCAAAGAGTTTATCCACGGGTCAAAAACAGAAAAGAAAATAACTATCCAAGCTCGGTCTGCTTTTTATAGTGCATGCCAGCGCTTCCGACTTTCTGGGTATCTTTGCTCAAACGACATTCCTAGGTCATTCATCCGACTTTCTGGGTATCTTTGCTCAAACGACATTCCTAGGTCATTCATCCGACTCTCTGGGTATCTTTGCTCAAACGACATTCCTAGGTCATTCATCCGACTCTCTGGGTATCTTTGCTCAAACGACATTCCTAGGTCATTCATCCCACTCTCTCATCTCTTACTGCACAGATTAGAGCGTGTCCTTGCACAGACTAGAGCGTGTCCTTGCACAGGCTAGAGCGTGTCCTTGCACAGAGCGCGTCTTGAGAGTGTCAGGTCCCTAACATCATGACACATTCTTTGGAGAAAATTTGAGAAAATGGGATTCCAAGATTGTCCCACTTACAGCTGAAGTGTTTTTACACCTCATTTGTGAAGTGTTGAATGGAGAAAAAATTCCTAATGTGTCGTGTGTCAGTCATGTGTCGTGTGTCATTCATTTCTCGCAAAAAGTAGAATAAGAATCCTCTCATTCTAGGAGCAGGAGAGACTAAGTTGTCTAAGTTCACTCATTCTCTACGCCGAGCTGTGGGGGGCGGCGCGGCTAATGTGCCGTCAGTACGCTAAGCCGCCCCCAGCAGCTCGAAAACAGATCTTCAATTTTAGCTTAGATTCTATTCCAATCCGCATATCCGTGTTAAAATAAAGGTCATAATATAATGTTGACTTCCGGGTCAAATGTTTCCACCGAAAATCGAAAGTTTTTATTCAGTTTTGAAACACAATTTCGAAGTTTATGCGACTTTGTTTATCGTGATGCTCAAATTATAGCCCAGACCCCAGTCTTACTACTTTTACACAACAAAATATATCTTTATTTTGCACACTAAACAAATGTAGGATTCTTTTTTAGAATATTGATACAATTGGGCTCAAATTGCCATTGCTCTAGATCTATTGAGAAATGAATATTTATCAGTGCTAGAGATCTAGATCTAGATCTAGATCTCTCTAGGTTTAGATCTAAATTGTCAAATTATTTTTTCTCCCAAAAAATCACTATTTTTTGGTGAAATTACACAAAAAGTACCACTCAAGACATGTGTAGGTTTATTCTAAATGCAATTCTGAATAATTCCATAAAATATACAAGTATTTTTTTTCTGTTTGTGGAATGCATCTTGTCCATTTTTCAATATTATAAATTTTTAAATTTTTTTTCAATATCGGATGTCATGATCCAAATGTGCAAATTTTATGGAATG